ACCTCCAGGAACCTCCGCCTGAGACTCCGCCCGGAGGCCAGCCCGGGCGCCCGAGGCGCCCCTCTCGGAGGGGAGCGCTGCCAGAGGGCCGCCCGCAGCCGTGGCCCGCAGTGGCCCCGCGCGGGGCCCGCCGCCGCCTCCGCGGCGGCGGCGACCGCCGCCAGCAGGACGACGGCGGGCAGCGGGCCGGCACCGGCGCGGGGGCGGCGGCTGGCGAGGGCGGCGGCGAGGGGCAGTGGCGGCGAGGGGCGGCGTGGCCGTCGTCGCCGCGGGGCGCGCGCCCGCGCCTGCGGGGGCAGCAGGAGCTGCAGGCGGGCGCAGGCCGCCGGGGCGCCAGCGCCATGGAGGCCAGAGCCTGGGCCATCGCGAGCGCCCGCCATGCCAGGCAGTGGAGGCCGGCGGGAGGGGGGAGGGAGAGCGGCAGCAGGGAGGGAGGGAGGGAGGGGGGAGGAGGGATGAGGAAAGATGGAGGGAGGGGCGAGGAAAAAGAGGGATGAGGAGGAGGAGGAGGAGGAGGAGGAGGAGGAGGAGGAAGAGGAGAAAGAGGAGGAGGAGGAGGAGGAGGAGGAGGAGGAGGAGGAGGAGGAGGTAAAAAGAGGTAAAAAGAGGTAAATGTAAAGGCGTTTCGGGGGCAGGTCCAAGTCAATGCCAAGACTCGCGAGGCCATGAGGAGGATGAGGTGGAGCGAGAAGGAGCGAGGAGCGAGGACGGAACGAGGAGGAAGCCCGTCTTGATGGCGCCCTGCCGCGGCGGGGGCGCGCGGGGCGCGGGCGCGGGCCCCTGCCTGCGGGATCGCGGAGGCTGCCCATGTCACGGGCAACAGGGGGGGGGCAGAAGGGAGTTGAATGGAATGGAGTGGAGTGGAGCGGAGCGGAGTGGAATGGAGTGGAGTGGGAGTTGGAGTGAAGTGGAGTGGGGTGGAGAGGAGTGGGGTGGAGAGGAGTGGAGTGGAGCGGAGTGGCATGGAGTGGAGTGGGAGTTGGAGTGAAGTGAAGTGGGGTGGAGAGGAGTGGAATGGAGTGGAATGAAGTGAAGTGGAGTGGAGCGGAGTGGAATGGAGTTGGAGTGGAGTGTATTGGAGTGGACCAATCACGAAGCGGTAAAACGTGACCCGAACCACAGGCCTGAACATGGGGTTCTGCTTGATTAGGGCTAATCCGCCACCGTGCCCCCTGGCGCGTTGAGGCGTGGAAGAACGCCAGGGTCTGCCTGGTAGGGTTGTTGTTATAATGTAATGAGGGACTACCCCTCCCTCTACCAGCAGACTGTTGCAAGCATCGCCCCTCCTTTCCGAGGACACTTCCCTCGTGTCCGCTCGAGGATGGTGCACTTCCCGCATGGCAGCTAATGCCTGACCCCCCATTCCACGCGTGCCCGCTCGAGAATGGTGCACATCCCGCACGGCAACTACTGCCTGAAGCCTCATTCCATGCGCGACTGCTCGAGGACTTTGCACTTCCTGCATGGCTGCTAACTCCTGAGCCCCTCATCCCAAGCACACCCGCTCGAGGATCGTGCACTTCCCGCCTTCACAGGCAGCGTTCCTAAGCGCTCCAGGGCGTCCCAAGCCAGGACTCCTCATTAAAAAACGGTGGATACGCGTCCCGAGCTTCCAAGACGGACCGCGCAGGCAACCAAGGACACCACGATGACCAAAGATAACTCGAAGATGGCCCAAGGTAGCCCCTCGGCGGCCGACGAGGGCCCAAGATGGTCTCAGAACGACCAAAGAGGTCCTCAAGACGCTCCAAGAGGCCCCCCAGAGGAACTCCATAAGGCAAACATCGTCCCAAGACGGCCAAGAGGCCAAGGCGGCCCAAGGGGCCCCGAAAACCGCCCCATGACGGCCCCAAGGCGGCCCAAATAGGCATCCCGTGGGACCCAAAACGGCCTTAGAAGGCCCTTCGACTGTCCAAGACGGCGCCAAAACGTCCCCACGACAGCCCCTAGACACCCACCATACCGACAAAAAGGACCAAGATGGCCCAAGACAGCCCCAAGCCGGCGTAAGAGGGCCCAAAGACGGCCAATGATGGCCCCACGGGGCCCCCAAGACTGCCTGACAGGAGGCCAAGACAGTCCCGAGACAGCCAACACAAGGTTCATCATCATCAGCATCAGCAACAACAACATCACCACCACCACCATCATCATCATCACCACCATCATCATCACCGCCATCGCCACCACCATGACCATCATCAACAACACCACTACTATCACCATCACCATCCTAAGCCACATCGTCATCAGCATCATCCTCATCATCATCCCCATCATCAACCTCATCCTCATCCTCCGCCGAAAAAAAAACATAATCATCATCATCAGCATCATCAGCATCATCATCACCACCATCAGATTTACCATCGCCAACACCACCATCGACATCATCACGACGCTCGTTATATATGATTCCCATGCCAATACTCATGTATCCCTACTGATGCCCGCAGCTGGTTTCTCCGAGGCCAGTCGGACTGTGTTCAAGAGCAAAGAGCCTACACCGTGACTTTACTGGGGCCCGACGCAGAGATGATCACATAAACCGAATTCTTCTCTGCCGCGCGGCCCCTCGGCGGCGGCAAAGTTCTGCAGCGAGAGACACGGATGGGAAGGGTAGGAACCCGAGAGCCGAAAGCTACGGAAAGCAAGTTTCGGCCTCCCTTCCCCTTCTAAAGGCATTCAACTTCATTAGAAAAGACCATGCCCGCAGCTGGTTTCTCCGAGGCCACTCGGATTGTGAGGCACGACGCAGATGTGATTACATAAACCGAATTCTTCTCTGCCACGAGGTTCCACGGCCACGGCAGACTTCTGCAGCGAGAGACGCGGATGGGATGGGTGGGAGCCCGGGAGCCGAAAGCTACGGAACACACATTTCGGCCTCTCTTCCCCCCTTCTAAAGGCATTCAACTTCAATAGAAAAGACAATGCCCGCAGCTGGCTTCTCCGAGGCCAGTCGGATTGTGTTCAGGAGCAAAGAGCCTGAGCCGTGACTTTCCTGGAGCCCGACGCAGAGATGATTACATAAACCGAATTATTTTCTGCCGCGAGGCCTCGCGGCTAAAACGTCCCGAACTAAACCAGAAAAGGCAACCCCTCTCTAGTCAGCAGCCTAGCCAGACGGGTGTCATCGAAAGCGCACTTGACCGCAGACGGGCATTGATGATCGCTCTCGCCCATCTAGCGGCAAGAAATCTCGGGCAGGGCTGAGCCACTAGAGTCCACAGGGGCCCTCCCATAGCTTCACGCTTCAGACTCTGATGAGGGTTGCCAGTCTTGCTGCAGCAAGTGCGAGGCCAACAAACGCTTCGACATCTACGCGGAACTCGAAGTCGGCTTTGTCCACGGGGTTCCGTCCTAACAATAATGGGTGGCACCCCGGAAGACATGAGGCTGCTCCCGAAGATGCTGAAGCGAGCTTATCAGCCAGAGCCTAGACATAGCAGGGCTCTCGACAATGAAAAGTATATGCATTCCCCTACAAATGTTCTAAGGGTTCTCACAGCATCTGACAAATCTGCTCGCCAGCGTGATTTGGGCTCTGTCCACCGGGTGCGCACCCGCTCGGGCCCCGCCATGAGGTCCCCACGAGCGCTTCGACCCGCGGAGCCGCTGCCGCCTAGAGAGGGTGCCCACTGGGCAGCCCGCAGGCGCCTATAAAACAGTCTTCAACACCTGGGTATATTCTGTACTTCGGCGCATGATGGACCACAAAGTGCAGAAAGCACGCCTCCAAGACGTCCCACAAGCTGGCACCCAAGACGGTCTAAGATGGCCATAAGTCGGCCTACATGGCCTCAGATGGGCCCAGGATGGCCCCAAGGCGGCAGAACAAGCCCACGCCAGCAGGGGACGAGGACGAGGCCCTCGATCCTAATTGATCCTCGATCCTCGGCCCTCGGACCTCGATCCTCTTGTTTCCTCGATCCTCGATCATAATCGATGCTCGATTCTCGGACCTCGATTCTCGATCTCCTTCGATCCTCGATCCTCGTCGATCATCGGATCCTCGGTCCTCGGACCTTGACCCGCGATCCTGAATCCTCGATCCTCTTCGATCCTCGATCCTCCTCGACCCTCCTCCTCCTCGATACCTGAGGACGCGGCGGCTCACGCGGGCCGCCCGCGCGGCAGGCCGCGTGGAGACGAGGGCCAGCCCACGCGCGACTGGCACCTCTTTCTCGGGCAGCTCACGCGGGACTGCACGCGCGGCCGGCCCCCGCCGACCTGCGCCGCTCGCCCGGCACTTTTCTCGGGGAGCACGCGAGGCACCATATATTGTCCGCGCTGTCGTGCCGTGCCGGGCCCGGGTGGCTGTTCCGCTCGGCACCGGCGGTGCGAGCGTGCCAGCGAGGGCCGTGCGGCAGGGGGTGCGAGGGGAAGACGCTGCGTCGCCGACAGGGCACGCCAGCTGTCGCAGTGCGGGTCAATCTGCTAACTGCCACCAAGGCTACGCTAGCGGCGAGGTTGGTTCACGGCGATGTTGGGAATCTGGTTTCTGCGACGCCGAATCCGCGCAGAACATACTGCAGGAAAGACGAACAAGCCTCACCTACAACTGGGTTCGCCACGAAGCACCCCCACCTACAATACCGAAACCCACATCGCCATTACCTACATCGCCGTTAGCGTGTCTACGGAATCTCCTGGCCTCCAGGGGCGTTCACCGTCTACCTCACCGATCGTGGCCAGGCCCACCCCCTCGGCCCAGGATGGGCCTGGCCAGGATCGGCGAGGTGGATGGTTGAAGTCCCCCGAATATGAACAGCACAAGGGCATGGAAGCCGCTGGAGCAGAGGCCATGCTCCGAGTAGGGGATCGACTACAACATTGATGTACCCCAAAGTGTTTTGTTGCTAGGACCGGCAGGAAATCATGTTTGGGGTAAATCCGTTCTGTAGTCGATCCCCTACTCGAATAGTTGGCGCGAGCTTTGTACAGTGCGCAGGGCCCACGTGAGCGTGTCCGACCTCGTGCATGGGATGGTTAAATGTTCAGCGCTGGCACTCGCTCCTTCTCCCTCTCCTCCGTATCCCTCCTCCTCGACACTCGTTATCCTCGTAACCACCCTCCTCCTTTCCCAACAATCTCACTTTTGCTCCTCTTCCCCCCCTCCTTCTTCTCCTCCTCATCCACCTTGCCTCTTCCTCCATCTTCCCCCCCCTGTTGGAGAACATCATCATATCCCCCCCGATCCACATCCAACTCCTCATTATTCTGATCATCAGCATCATAGTCATCATCAGCATGCATCACCACCACCACTATAATCAGCATCATCAGCAGATTCAGCATCATGAGCAGCATCACCCCACTCCCCTTCCCATCCTCCTCCTGTTTGTCCTGCTCCCCCTCCTTCTCTGCCTCCTCCTCTTCTTCCTCCTCCTCCTCCTTGTCCGTCCTCCTTCTTCTCCTCCTCCTCCTCCTCCTCCCACCCGCCCGACGTACGTACTGACTCACAACGCGGTGCGGTTACCACACCGTTTAGGGGGCCCCCGAGCAGGAGGCGAGTCGAGCTGCCAGGAGGCCCACATCGGGAGAGAGAACTGAAAACGGCGCGCCGCCGCCGGGAGCCCGTCAGCGTGTTCTGTCGCTGTGATTCGAAAGCCTGGCGTTTCTTCCGCGGTGGCACGCTGACGGCTTCCCCACGGCGGCGTGTCATCGATGCTGTGCCTGCTCCCCCCAACCAGAGGAGGGGAGCCAGGAGACAGAAGCCTCCCCGCCCATGCGTCTCGTCATCCCTGACCCTGGCCCCTGGCCACCCGCCTGCGGCGTTCGCTGTCGTCTGCCTGTTCCCCCCTTCCTTCCTCGCCGGGCGGCACAGGACTGCCAGGAAGCCAGGTGGGCGACGGAACAGCAGCCGATCCTTGATCCTTCGCTTTCCTCGCCAGAATGGCTTTTTCGCGACGTTCGCCCCTGGGGATGTCGGCCTCTGCCTTGGGACCGTTTCGTTCACCCCGAGAAACATTGTTATCACCGATGCCGAAATCGTAAAAAGAGCTGCGGTCACAGTTTTTTGCGCCGCCTGGATCCGAAGGTCCCCTGACTTGCGCCGTCGCGATCTCCGAAACAGCTTGGTTTGTCTGCGCGGGTCCTGTGTATTTCCCTAAACAGCTTGTTTACGACAAAAATCCTCAGCGTTCAACGGGTTGCAACGCAGGGAAAAGATGAGGCAGGGATGATACGGCAGGAGAGGTAGATAGCAGGATTGGGAGTGCGTGCGACAGGTATTCGTTATGTTGTTCCTCATCTTCGTGTGTGGGTTGAAGCATGATGATGTGCCAGTGTTTGCCATAGAGTTCTGGCGCAAAGCGCAAGAGCGCTTAGCAAGCAGACTGTTCAAGAGAACTGCACCAACGGGGCGGCCCACGACGGGGTCCTCAAGCGGCAGCCGGGACAGGTGCAGCAGGCGCCGGCGCAGCCGCTCGAGGCGCCGCAGCTCCCCTTCGCGCAGCAGGCACCGCCGCAGGAGCGGTCGCTCCCCGACCCGCCCCAGGCAGCCGGCGAGGTCGCCGTCTGGTCCCCGGAGGGCTGCGGCAGCAGTGGCCGCGGCTGCTTGCTCGCCGAGAGGCAAAGAGAAGGGCTTGCAGCAGTTCCTGGCCAGGACCTGCCCCCTGGGGTCAGAGGAGCTCCAGAGGAAGACCGTTGAAGCTCTCAGAGGCAATTGCGTGGCCACGGACTGGCCACTTGAAGTTGCCCCTAGGGAGTTGCTCGTCGAGTTGCTGCCTCCAGCCTCGAGAGGGGCGGAGCTCACGCTGTGCCTCCATGCGCAGTAGGCGGCGGCTAAGACAGCGTTGCCAGGAGCAGACGCCGTGGCGAAGCAGGTGGCGCGCCTCGGGAAGGCCGTGCGCCGGACGGGCCGCCGCGAGCCCTCGTCGAGTCCTTCCACTTCCCCGGAGAAGGATTTCGACGCGCACGAGTGTTTGCGCGCGTACGGCCTCGGCGTCAAGAGCGACCACAACTGCAGCTTCAAGGCGCTCCGCGTGCTCGCGGCGTCGGCGCGCAAGGCCGCGCGCCGCAGCAAGCCCCAGGAGTTCGTGGTCCCAGGCGCCCTCGCCAAGTTCACTCCTCAGTGGATGGACGAGCGCTACAAACCGCAGAGTGCGTCCGACGTGACGCACGCGCAGTGGACGGCCATGTGGTGGGGTAGGGCTCTTGCGCAGCTGACCTGCAAGGCCCACGCAAAGAGAGAGGCGCTTACGGTCGAGACACTTCTGGGCGCCTTCCTGGACGCGAACAGGATTGCTGTCGTGGACACCAGGAGAGTGGCGTCGGAATACGACGCGACACTCTGGAGCGAGCTCGCGGACCGGACGTGCAGGAAGGATTCCTCGTGCGTCCCGAAGGACATGCTGTCGCAGGTGGACGAGAACAGGCGCGACAGAGCTAACAAGGCAGTCCGCGACGCCACTGCCCTTCGGTTGCAGACCGGGTCCAAGGGCGGCGGAAAAGGGAAGCCTCAGCAGTGCCAGCCGCACCACCCGCAGCAGTGGGGGCGCCAGCAGGGCACGCCGCGGCCGCCGACCCCGCCACACCCTCAGGGGAAGGGCAAGGGGAAGGCGTGGAAGTGAGGGCTCGCGGCGACGGGCACATTGGGCACAGATGAGGGCGACGGGTCATCTGTAGATGCCTGGTCGTCTGAGAGTGGCTCGGTGTGCTCCGACGGCGATCTGGCCGGGCCGGCTGTGGAGCCGGTCGCCCACTTGCGGCAGGCGCTCTCGGCGTTCGCTACGTGGGAGCCGCTGCCATGGGACACGAGGCGCGACTTGTCCAAAGGGGGGGAGTCTCGCATCTCAAACATGGCGGCCGACCCGTCGAAGTGATTCGATTCTACTTCTGAGATGCTTGCGCGTTGGAAGCAGCGAAAGTCTGCCCAGGCGCCCAATCTTCAGAGGTGGCGCAGCATGCTGCAGCCGCACGAGCGGGGCGTTGTCGGGAAAATAGGTCCGTTCACTCTTGGCGCCTTGCTTCATGAGTCGCAACATGATGACGATACGTACTTGCATGACTTGCTTCATGGGTTTCCGATTACAGAAGCACTCCGCGTGGGAGGCATGGGCATTCCTAGCCAGGGGGGCTTCGCAGCCGCAGGCGCCCGGGCAACGGCGGGGCACCGCCGCCCTCTGAGTTGAAGAACCATTACCGCCAGTTGAACGCAGACACGTTGGCACGGGCAACAGCCTGGACGCATGCTTCAGCTGCAGACGAGGATCGGATATGCTAAAATCTTGTGACACGGCGCGAGAATCCTGCAGGGCGATAAGGAGGTGGGGTGAGCTTTCTTCCCGAACCGAAGTTCGATTTCCCACGCGATGTAGTGCATGTGTGTGTGCGCGCCTGGGCCTTTCCCTCGCTCCTTCCCCTTCCCTCACCCCTTTTCCCTCCCCCCCTTCCCGTCACTTTCCACATTGAGTGTTCCCCCAGCAGTAATCTGATAGCCCGAACTCCCGGAAGACCAGAACGTTTCCAGGAGCTGTTTCAATTCATACATTTTGTTCCAACAGGATTTGGTGCGTGAGATCTGGCGCCAAACACTCAAGGACGTCACAGAGGGTCGCGCCGGGACGCCTGTTCCAGTCACACAGGTGGATCTCTCTGAGGTGCTCCTCGTGGACACGTCGGCATGTGGAAGCAGCGAGGACAATCCGGAATTTCCGGAGCAACCTCGTGAATGATTACACCTGGTTGCCAGAGAAGCTTCACTACGATAGCTTCCAGCAGGCGTTGGCGGCCCTCCGAGTGGCGTCAGCCAGCTGTCAGCCAGGGTCTTCGCCAGAGTTGGGCAAGGCGAATGTTAAATCTGCCTTCAAAACCTTGCCGCCGCTGGAAGCGCATAGCTGGATGTGCTTGGCGCTAGTTTGCGACCCGGCAACGACCACTTGGATGGCGGTGCCGTTATGGTCTCACATGTTCGGGAACCTCGGGGGCGTCGCAGGGTGGTACCGCACGACCAGGACGGTGCAACACATCATGCTGCGCAACTTCGGAGTGGCGATTTTCCTGTACGTCGACGATGCTTTTTGGGTCGGCACAGATGTCAGGCTGTGCGGCGGCAGAACTGTGTCCGAATGGATTGGCGTTCTGTTTGAAGGGGTTGCCACGGGCCTTCTCGGTTGGCAGCTCGATCCTGACAACAGCGAGATCAGGAAAAGCATCCTGCTTCTCGGCATCCAGATCAGCGTTAGCCCTGGCACCTCGTGTTGGGCAGTCGGCACAGACAAGCAGCAGCGTTGGGGAGCAGACCTTCGGCAAGTGTTGGGGGAGGGCGTCCTCCCCCCTGGCCTTGCGTCAAAATTGTGTGGGCGCCTGTCCTTTTTGAACGGCCACGTGTTCAATCGGGTCGGCCGCGCGTTGCTGTGACCCCTCATATGGCGGCAGCAGCAGCAGCGAAAGGGGCCGTTTACTTTGACGAAGTGGCTGGGCCACGCTTTGGAATGGTTTTTGGTTCTGATCGAGACCGGGGTGTCCAGGGAGGTGCCCTTGCTACGTCCTGTGCTCCCCCTGCTGGTACTCATATACTCCGACGCCGAGCGCGCTGGCAGGGTCGGGGCTGTGTCCGTGAACCCAGACGGCGCGATCAGATTCTTCCAGGGACGCCTGCCGCGCAGCATCCGCGGCCTCCTGAGGAAAAGAACAACGAACATCGTGGCCTATGAACTCCTAGCCGCATTGGCGGCGCTAGCGTTGTTGTCTCCAGGCCGCGTTGTTGGCTCACGCGTGGTGCACTTCATAGACAGTACTGCAGCTCTGGCTTGCGTTGTGAGAGGCTATTTGTCCAAGGAAGACTTGGCCTTGACTGCAGGCCGCTTCTGGTACGAGGTCGCTTGTTCGTGCATTAATTATCGGGCGGAATATGTCCAGTCAGCAAGCAATCTCGCTGATGGCCCGCCTCGCGGTGATCTGTCAGCATCGCGCGCCTTAGGCGCCGATGAGGCTTTGAGTTGGGACTGGCCGTGCTTTGGAGGTGGTCTTGACGGCTGGATGGGCGCGAGAGATGCCGACCGTGCCGTTCAACAGGCG